CGACCAGAACAGAGGCGCTTAGGGTGTACCCGAGCTGACAGTGTACCCAAGCTATCTGACGGTGTACCAGATCTGTCTGATGGTGTACCCGAGCTGTCTGATGGTGTACCCGAGCTGTCTGATGGTGTATCCGAGCTGTCTGATGGTGTACCCAAGCTGTCTGATGGTGTACCCGAGCTGTCTGACGGTGTACCCGAGCTGTTTGGCAGGATACCCCGAGCTTATTAGAAAGATAACCCGAGGTGTTGAAGTTCGGCTCGGTCTCAAAGGATGGTTGAAATCCGACCCCAACACACAGAATCTTCACTCACGCCAAAACTTGCTATCGATCTAACCAAAAACGAATTGTTGAACCAATCGTCTCCTTGTTCAAGAATCATGACATCCTTATCCTTTTCTAGTTTCTGAATCCTCTCACTTTTCCTTGATTCAACTTTTCCTTGACCTAACTTAACTTTTGAAACATGCATAATAAGGACCTAACTTAACTTTTGAAACATGCATAAGAAACACCTCAAAGTTCTTATCAACGAAAGGTTATATAGTAAAACCAATAGCGCAGTTTTACATTTAACAAAGATCAAATTCCAAAGAAACAGATTCCACTTGATAAAATAATAAAAGATAAAACCAACATCTTAAAAAGTGGCAACAATCCAAAACAAAGTCATCATAACATAATCCAGAAATTTAGATAGAACAATCCGAAAACAAAAGATAACCAGAAAATCATAAAAGCAAATCCAAAGTTGCAAGAACAAATTAAAAAGAGACCTTAATTTAGTATCTAACTGGATGATGCTGCTTCATCCATCATAGTGAAAACATCATTCAAAAACTTATCCCTTTGCAACATGTATTCAAGTTCCTTGGTTCGCAAGACTCTCCACTTTTGATCAATCATGTCCTTCTCCTCCATAGGCACCGAACCCCATTTTCTTTTCAGAGAATCTTCACCAACACCAAAACTAGCAATCTTCCGAACAATAAGCCCATTCTCAAACCATTTTCCTCCTTCATGAACCATCACTTGCTTCTCTTCTTTAAGCTTTATAATCCTCTTACTCTTCCTTGGTTTCTCAACAGCAGATTCCACATCACATCCCCAAATCAGTCTCAACAACTCAGAACTTGTGTGGCCGTGAGGTTCCGAGGAAGACGGTTCTTTAGCGTTAATCTTCACTTGACCCATTAACTTCTTCTTCAAACTCTTCATCTTCTCTACGAAGTCGTTAACATCAACGCTTATATATTCCTGGAGGAATTCGTAAGCTCCGTTCATATCATCAAAAGGATTCTTCCTTGTTATAGCTTTGAAATCTGTCATACCTTGTAGCACACGGATCTCTTCTTCCTCACTCCACTCCAACTTTAGAGAACTCGCCTTCTTCGCATCTTTCTTCGATCGCTTGGCACTCACGTCTTTGTCCATTGACGTCACTTCGTTCTTCCGCCTCTTCCCAGCTGGCTTAGCTTCATCGGAACCACCACAAACCTCCTTCATCTTCTTGGACCGGTTGGTATTCACTTTGCCCATTATCAAAAAACGTTTCAGGTTCTCTGAGAGAACGAAAGAGTGAGAATTGGTAGAGATTTAAACCCACAAATAATTTGACGATTTGTTTACCTTTTCTTGGAAATGTATATATTTCATTAAATATATAAACTTTTGTGGTTTTTTATGCTTTCTTTGTGGTATTTTATTTTGGAAAGTAAAAAATTAAAAGGATTTATACATTGACGTAAATGTTATCTATGGGTCACAATTAAGTCAAGCCCAATATTCATTTTTAGATCAACTAGAGGAAATCCGGGCTACGCCCGGTGTACATTTGATATTTGATATTTTAAAATTGGTTAATGTTTTTTTAATTTTATTTAGTTTCTTTAGTGAAAATGCGAAAAATCATGTGATACTATTAATTGTTTAGTTTTACATATTTATCATTTCCACATTAATTTTCATTTACAAAATTAAGTAGAAGAAACTAAAAATTAGTGTATATAGTATTTTCATTTATCTCCCGTAATTTATTTTCCATTTGTCTCTAATCATATTATTCCGTAGTTCTATATATTTTAATTTTATCTTATATATTAATTATTCTATGGTTTCTAAGATTAGATTACTATCATATTAGTCCATATAATAATAATTTAGCTAAACACTATTGAGATGGTTTTCTATGTCAAATAATCATAATAATTTCGTAATGCTAAGTTCTAGCGCGGGTTATTTTTTTTGTGTTTGTACTTTGTACTATGTTGATAGGAATTAGAAGGTTATTGCCTCGTCCATTTTACATGAGCTTTAATTCACCGTGAATATACTACAAGTTAAATGTATTTTGCATCTTGTTACCCATCTCGCTCCTCTTGAAAATGTTTTCGTTTCTTTGATGACCCTTTGTCACCTTTACCAATAGATACTCATCAAACTCAACCCCTCCCATAACATCATCTAACTTAGGTGATTTAGTTCTCTTTATCCACCAGCATAAAAAAACTCATAAATGCTCACATACTACACATCACAATGCAAAAATAGAACAAAAATGTTAAACAAATAAAGATTTGGCATCAATGATTATGCATAATTCAAATGCTTTAAACTCTATTTTCCTAATCATTGATAGTTTGTTCTTAACTAAATGAATAAAAATGTAGTAATTTTGCAGTGTTGTTCTACTTGGCCGTCTCTTATCTTTCAGCAGCACCTCTACTTCTTTTCTTTTGAATCCTGAAAGAAATAATTATATTGATAAACAATTGATTTGTATTATTAGCAAGTTAATCGATGATGTAGGTAGGACCTAATGATTCACATTTACAGCTTGGTGAAAATATAATTAGCTCATCATATTAAAGATTCGAACACGTATGTGTCACTTTTCTTTTCGACAATCTTTGTGACTTGCAAAGCATATTATTCGTCTCCTTCAGATTTTCCCATGCTTAAGAATCTGAAAAAGTTAAGTTTCACACATGGCGACTCTTATCTTTGTGAAAATCTCCCTAATTGACAATATTTTGCACTAAAAGAATGAAATTCTAGAATTTCAAGAATAACGAAGGTCTTTGGAAATTACTTTTGGTTGCAAATACGAAAACCTTACACAATTCAGAAAGTGGATCCATATTGTAGTCATCTTTGCTGCCGTTGACGTCCTTAATAAATCCTTGCAAGATCTTCTTTCGCGTAGTCCTTTTATTCCTGCAGATATATTGTTCTAATACCATAAATAATCTGAATTTTTGTTGGAAGAGAAAGTGGAACCATACCGTAGTCGTCATCAATAAGCGTGACGAATTATAAACTGGAGATGAACGCTAGGGTTCTGTGTGCAGCGGCGTTTCGAGGATCGCAAGCCTTGTCGTTTTTCATGCCTTGCGGGTGGACGGTGGTGATATATCGATCTAGATCTCCCATTAACGTGACTATTCCCGACTATTAGCCTTCAAAATCAAAAAGGAGAAAATATTTCAGGTAAATTTGTTACATAGTTTTAGAGTTTACAAAGGAGATTGATTGTTAAATACAGAGAAGTGAGAAGTCAATACGGTAATGATATGAGTTAAAAATGGAAGATGCGATTAAACGTGTGAAAGAGGATGTGGGAATGATTTATCTGTGAACGTGGGAGAGCAAGTGACTCAAAACGGACTAACTCAAGGAGAGGGAGAAGAAAGGTTTTGGTTGCTCTTCCACGTGTCATAGACTGATTAGTGGTTCATTGAAGATGTCACATGGTAACACGACGTTCTAGTTCATGGGCTTTGAAATGGGCCATAAACTTAATTCATTTTCTATCTCGTCTTCAGATGTTTGTTGACGTGGCTTCCTCTTAAGTGAGTTTTGTTTTGCTGATGTGGACACTCTTAGACCATCAGCAGTGGCAAATGTGTTTGTGTGGGTGTAAGTATTTTTTTAGTATTATAATTTAAAGCAAAAGAGAAAAGAGAAAGAGAAAGAAAGAGAGAGATAGAGAAAAAAAGTGTTACACCCGAGTGTAAACTTACACCCGGGTGTGAAGAGAGAGACAATTTTTTCGTTTTTTTAATACCTACACCCCAAGACTTACACCCACCTGCTTGCCCCACTGCCCATGCTCTTAGAAGCCTCAATTAGTTCCTTTTATTAGTAAGAGATAAGAAAATTTTGCAAATATGCTTCTTGTGCAATTCAGAATAATCTTGGAGAAATTTTAAACCTGACACACTACAAAAAAGAAGGGATTTAAAGTCATTTTTCAAGTTTCCTAAAGTCAGCTTTTAAATGACCCTAACAATATAAAGTCATTTTTGAAAATGATACAACAAATGATGACTCTAAGTTTTTTAGAAACACTTCAAAAAGTGACTTCAAACTTAAAGTCAGAAATCAATATGGGCCATAATTTTTTAATGAGCTTTATATTTTGTCTGAATCCATTTACCTGTCTGAAATCTAGTTATGTGTTTGTCTGAATTTCAGTTTCATTTGTGTCTTTAATTTTTGTCTGAATTAAACCTGTAAAAAAAATGAGGAACAATAACCAAATACATTATATATTTTCATGTTCCAAAGTCAAATAGAAAACAATATTTGATCACAGTCTGATACAAGAATATCTGATTCAGCTATAAAAAATTAAAACATATGATATGCTATATCTGATCATATTTCTATGCACTTCTTCTTCTAATACCCTTGTTCTCATCCAAGATGTTTGGATTTTTATGCAAGTACCCTTGTGAACTGAAACAAAAACAGTGGAGATCATTTTCTCTTGATTCATGAACAATGGCATACTATCCACAACGTAACTGAACTTAGGAAGGAAAATGCATCGTTTGAGCTGAAAAGTGATAACAGGAGGTAGTGTACGCGAGAGAGAGAGAGAGAGAGAGAGGGAGAGAGAGAGAGAGGGATGTATGCACTTCTTATTCCGGTATTTCTTGAGTAATGGTTTATGACTATGTAAAGATAATTCAAAGTCATGCTCTGTTCAAAAAAATTGGATGAAAATATTTTTAGTAAATCCATTTCCATGCACTGTTCACAATCTCATCTTCTACAAACGGACGCAATGACCACATCAGACTGTAACTCTCTAGCTCACCAGATGATGACTTCAAACTAAGCGATCTCACAATCTTTTCCTGAAAAGACAGTATCCATTTATCTTCAGTAAGTTAACGGTTTTTAAGATCAACCATGAAGAGAAGGGTTCATATGGCGCACCTGCATCGCATAGTTCTGCTTCATCATACTGTAAATAACTGCGATAAGTGCAGCGTACTCTAGAACTTCAGGTCCTTGAGGTAATTGTGCAGTCTCGTTCTCCTAAATCAAACACATCCATACTACATTACTTTACTCTTCTGTGAAACCGTTTTCAAAGATGTAAGCTAGTTTACCCGAGAACAAATTCTGTCGACATCTTACCTCATCACACGTTACTTGTTGCAATTCATCACTTGAGTATTTATCTAGCTGTACGGAAAACTGTGTGGCAGTCTCAATGGCAAGGGCTGCTTCATCGGTGAGACGCTCAAGCTCAATTAACAAGCTTTTGGCTGCAATTTTCACATCTTAAAGATTAAAAAGGCATAACTGCTTATAGAAATAGAAAATATAATATGTGGGAGTGAGTGATGACATGAAAGAGTAACTAATTGCAAAACAAGTTATAGAGACGGAGTAATACACTACCTTTGATTAGGTGGTCAGAAAGTCCAGATAGGGATGTATGCACTTCTTATTCCGATATTTTTTGTTTTCAGATAAGAAACGGAAGACCAAGTCGAGAAGAAGAAGAAATGCAAGAAAAAAAAGGAGCAACATGTAAGCAGAACATAAAAGAATAATGTTCCTAAAACAGGAAACTTTTCACATAACTTAGAGACTTAAATCAAAAGAGTTGTTCGGAAACTTACAAGCTCTTGTACTTTGTGCAGCATCGTGGATGTTAATACATCCCGCTTCCATATATGATTTAAGCCGTCTTGTTTCATTCTTCTTGATAATGTTCTCCATCAACTTAGACGAAGTAACCATTGGAGGGCGTTGAAGAAAACCTGAAACAGTAATTTCATAAGAAACAATGTCATAGAAAGATTTCAAAAGAAAACGTACTTAGTCCTTGCTGAAACCGAAGAAGAAAGTTGTTTGCAGCATTCCCTAGTTCCTCAAGCTGTGTGATTCTATAATCATTACAATAACCAAGATTAAGAGGGACTCAATTTACTTGAAAGTAGTTATGTATGTAAGAGAATCAAAGCAAAACAATAAACTTTACCCTGTCATAAAATCTTTGAAAATCTCGGATATTTTCTTCTTCTGTTCGATTCTCGCTTCCCTGTCTTCGTCTTTCATTCTAAAAGAACACATGTAACATTGTTTCAAGCTACAAAACCATATGAAAAATTCAGAGACAACACTCGCTAAACAAGAATTTGCATGCCCAATGCGGGAAATCAAACAGGAGCTTAGATGATCCAATAAGGCAATGATCTATTTAGGCTAAGTAAACGGAACCACAACGTAACTGAACTAATCATAAATTCACAACCAAACAGTAGACTATTGAGAACCCAATTCGATCCATGATGAGAGAGAGAGAGAGAGAGAGAG